TTTTTAACTCGATGGGAGCGAAATGAAACTGTCTGAATGCGAAGCTGTGTGTGTTATTTGTCTCCCCTGTTCCCCCTCTGCTCTCAGCGCACCACACCTACTTTTTTAGCGTTTTTTAAAACTGTGAAGGCAAGTAATAATATTTTGTAACTGATACGGAACTTAATAGGTAGCCAGTGCAGAGACTGTAAAATTCGGATATTATGATCATATTTTCTTGACCTGGTAAGGACTCTAGCCTAGTCATCTATCATACGGCTGGCCTTGAGCAACAGTGCTTTAAGTGTGACCCCTGTAACCCTGTCATCAAGGCTTCAAAAAGGCAATCAAAATTATTATTATTATCAGACTAGTGTTATCTAATTTAATATTACAACTTATTTGTTTAATCATATTTCTTTTTACGCATTTTTACAGTGTTGGATGTTATAATCACACGATTCCTTTGAGTTTATGAATGAGGCGGCCAATCAGAGGCGTTCAGATGAATCATTGCTGAAACACTGGAGTTTTGTTGTTGAGTGTGTGCTCACTGACTGAATTCTGCTCTCTCGTGAATTCTCTCATCAAAGTGCAGATGTATGTGCGATGTAAGTATGAGAGATTTAGTCATCATACAGTGTAGATAGCTTCACTGATTATAATGGGAGTGTTTTTAAAGTGCATTTCTCACACTAGACTGAAGTCAGTGATGTTCTTTGATAATGTAAATGTTTTTTGCTGGTTTCCTGTAGCTGCTGTTTGAATAGCCTAACTGAAGAAATGTAAGCATTATAATTTGCAACTTACAATGTTTTTATTAAATTGTTATCATGTTAAATACAAATTCAGTCATATTAAAACTATTTCATGACATGACATCCATACTTGGCTGAAAAGATATAATGTGTAGTTAATAGATTACACTAACATTAGGCTGCTTATAGCCTTATCCTGTAGTGGGTTCACTCTCCGGCTATGAAACGAAGTAAATAATTAAATAAATTAGCATGATAATATTGTGTATCGGCGATCTCACAGGATGACGATACAATATAACTATGGAGCATATCGCCCGACACTACTCTCGCTCTCTTTATATTTTTAATACATTTGTACTTTGTGTGTAAAACAATTTATTTTATTTGGATGTATTTGTCTTTTATCATATTTACCAATTCATATCATTTCTATTTGTGCTGGTCAATTATGAACAATAGGTGAAATTGAACTGCTAGCAAAAACTGCTGCCAATACTTGAGTGACTCCTCCTCTAACAGATGTAATCTCACTCCAAACATTTGATAAAACTTGGAGCCCTGTGCCTACTATTGAATATCTGATCATTGCAGAATACATCTAATCAGATGCCTGTTGACATTTTCTTCTGCCTATTCTTCAAACTGTAATCATGTGTACATTTTGAGCACATGCAACGGTGTCTAACTAATAAAGATCTTCAATGCTTTTAGAACAGTTAATGGGCATTATTAAGGGGCAGTTAAGGGGCATAATTAGGCACTACGTAGAGCAGTGTAAACCACTGCTTCTTGCAACTTATTGCTTTAATATCCACCCCTTTCATTGCTCTTTATGTTCACCATGATCTTACATTTACATTACATTAAGTCATTTAGCAGACACTTTTATCCAAAGTGACTTACAAATTCTGAAAAGATATTTATATATCGACGGTACACCTTCATTGATAACGATAGACAAAATGTTCTAGTACACCCCCAAAACAAAATCAAGACTTTGTAAAAGAGCATAATAGGACCCCTTTAAGACTTATTTAATCTGCATATAAAACATAAGAAAGGAGATATTTGTTTACATTTTATTTTGTGTCTGACTGTTAAAACAAACAAAAAATAATTGTTGTTGTCAGGGTCCTGCCTGACAGTCATGTCTGTTCTGTCTTTGTTTGTCTTGTGTCTGAGCACATGGCTTTGTCTTTGTTTATGTTGGCCATGTGTTCCTCTCGTCCTGCTCACTGACTGAATTCTGCTCTCTCGTGAATTCTCTCATCAAAGTGCAGATGTATGTGCGATGTAAGTATGAGAGATTTAGTCATCATACAGTGTAGATAGCTTCACTGATTATAATGGGAGTGTTTTTAAAGTGCATTTCTCACACTAGACTGAAGTCAGTGATGTTCTTTGATAATGTAAATGTTTTTTGCTGGTTTCCTGTAGCTGCTGTTTGAATAGCCTTACTGAAGAAATGTAAGCATTATAATTTGCAACTTACAATGTTTTTATTAAATTGTTATCATGTTAAATACAAATTCAGTCATATTAAAACTATTTCATGACATGACATCCATACTTGGCTGAAAAGATATAATGTGTAGTTAATAGATTACACTAACATTAGGCTGCTTATAGCCTTATCCTGTAGTGGGTTCACTCTCCGGCTATGAAACGAAGTAGATAATTAAATAAATTAGCATGATAATATTGTGTATCGGCGATCTCATAGGATGACGATACAATATAACTATGGAGCATATCGCCCGACACTACTCTCGCTCTCTTTATATTTTTAATACATTTGTACTTTGTGTGTTTATTTTATTATTTTATTTGGATGTATTTGTCTTTTATCATATTTACCAATTCATATCATTTCTATTTGTGCTGGTCAAAATAGGTGAATAGGTGAAATTGAACTGCTAGCAAAAACTGCTGCCAATACTTGAGTGACTCCTCCTCTAACAGATGTAATCTCACTCCAAACATTTGATAAAACTTGGAGCCCTGTGCCTACTATTGAATATCTGATCATTGCACAATACATCTAATCAGATGCCTGTTGACATTTTCTTCTGCCTATTCTTCAAACTGTAATCATGTGTACATTTTGAGCACATGCAACGGTGTCTAACTAATAAAGATCTTCAATGCTTTTAGAACAGTTAATGGGCATTATTAAGGGGCAGTTAAGGGGCATAATTAGGCACTACGTAGAGCAGTGTAAACCACTGCTTCTTGCAACTTATTGCTTTAATATCCACCCCTTTCATTGCTCTTTATGTTCACCATGATCTTACATTTACATTACATTAAGTCATTTAGCAGACACTTTTATCCAAAGTGACTTACTACAAATGAGGATAATGGAAGCGATCAAAATCAACAAAAGGGCAATGATATAGAAGTGCTATAACAAGTATCAGTTAGCTTAACGCAGTACACATAGCAAGGTTTTTTTTAAATAATATAATAAATATAAAGAAAACAGATAGAATAGAAAAAGAATAGAGCAAGCTAGTGTTAGAGGTCTTTTTGCTTTTGTTAATTGTTTAATAAATGAAAAGAAAACAGATAGAATACAAAAAGATTAGTTCTGAAGTAATGAAGTTAGGTAAAGGGGTGCAGAGCCAGTGGTGGTTTTGTAGGCAAACATCAATGCCTTAAATTTTATGCGAGCAGCTATTGGTAGCCAGTGCAAATTGATAAACAGAGGTGTGACGTGCATTCTTTTTGGCTCATTAAAAATTAATCTTGATGCAGCGTTCTGGATTAATTGTAAAGGTTTGATAGAACTGGCTGGGAGACCTGCCAAGAGAGCATTGCAATAGTCCAGCCTGGACAGAACAAGAGCTTGAACAAGGAGTTGTGAAGCATGTTCCGAAAGAAAGGGCCTGATCTTCTTGATGTTGAATAAAGCAAATCTGCAGGACCAGACAGTTTTAGCAATGTGGTCTGAGAAAGTCAGCAGATCATCAATCATAAATCCAAGGTTTCTGGCTGTTTTTGAAGGAGTTATGGTTGATGTGCCTAACTGGATGGTGAAATTGTGAAGAAATGATGGGTTTGCTGGAACCACAAGCAGTTCTGTCTTGGCAAGGCTTAGTTAAAGGTGATGGTCCTTTATCCAGCAAGAAATGTATGTTAGACAAGCTGAGTTGCGAGCAGCTATCGTCGGATCATCAGGATGGAATGAGAGGTAAAGTTGAGTGTCATCAGCATAGTAGCCATGTTTCTGAATGACAGAACCTAATGATGCCATGTAGACAGACAAGAGAAGTGGTCCAAGAATGGAGCCCTTAGGCACCCCAGTAGTTAGATGTTGCGTCTTGGACACCTTACCTCTCCAAGATACTTTGAAGGACCTATCTGATAGGTAAGACTCAAACCACTGGAGTGCGGTTCCTGAAATGCCCTTTGCTAATAGGGTTGATAGGAGGATCTGGTGGTTAACCGTGTCAAAAGCAGCAGATAGATCCAGCAAGATAAGTATTGAAGATTTGGAATCCGCTCTTGCCAGTCTTAGGAGCCATGTTTCTGAATGACAGAACCTAATGATGCCATGTAGACAGACAAGAGAAGTGGTCCAAGAATGGAGCCCTTAGGCACCCCAGTAGTTAGATGTTGCGTCTTGGACACCTTACCTCTCCAAGATACTTTGAAGGACCTATCTGATAGGTAAGACTCAAACCACTGGAGTGCGGTTCCTGAAATGCCCTTTGCTAATAGGGTTGATAGGAGGATCTGGTGGTTAACCGTGTCAAAAGCAGCAGATAGATCCAGCAAGATAAGTATTGAAGATTTGGAATCCGCTCTTGCCAGTCTTAGGGCTTCAACAACTGAAAGCAAGGCAGTCTCGGTTGAATGTCCACTTCTGAAACCAGACTGGTTGCTGTCAAGGAGGTTGTTCTGTGTGAGAAATGTAGAGACTTGGTTGAACACAGCTCGTTCCAAGTGTTTCTGCAATGAAAGGAAGAGGGGAAACCGGTCTGTAGTTCTCTAAAAAGTTGTGTCTGCTCAATTGTGCTCCTTCCTGCAAAAAAATGATCTCTTGGATGTTGACATCACTGAATTCAATGATGAACTGTCTTTAACTGAAAAATGAGTGTTTACTATTGTCATTTTGCATTATTGACACTATTTTCCTAATTAATGCTGTTCAGTTGCTTTGTCACAATCTGTATTGTTAAAAGCGCTATATAAATAAAGGTGACTTGACTTGACTTGACTTAAAAGAGATGGGGTAAGGGTGGGTTTCTTCAGTAGAGGGGTTATACGAGCCTGTCTAAATGTTGAGGGGAAAACACCAGTGTAAAGGGATATGTTAATGATGTGAGTGAGTGCAGGTACAACTGCAGGAGAAATGGCTTGAAGGAGATGAGATGGAATAGGATCAAGCGGACAAGTAGTAGGATGATTAGAAAGAATGAGTTTGGAGACTTCTGCCTCAGAGAGGGAAGAGAAGGATGTGAATGAGTGTATGTTAGCTGGTAAGATGTGCTTGACAGATTGTGGTGTGGAAAATTGTGCACTGATGGTTTTAATTTTATTAATGAAAAATGTGGCAAAGTCATCAGCTATTAGATTTGATGCAGGAGGGGGAGGAGGAGGACAAAGGAGCGAGGAAAATGTGAATTTTTAAAGAGCATGTGAGAGTTAGACGAATTGTTAATTTTGTTATGGTAGTATGTCCTTGTAGCAGTGGAGACATTAGCAGAGAAGGAAGAGAGGAGGAGTGACTGATACAATTAAGGTCAGTAGGATTTTGAATTTGCGCCACACTCTTTCAGCAGCCCTGAGCTTAGAACAATGATCACGGAGAACATCAGATAACCAAGGGGCAGAAGGGGTGGTACGGGCTGGCCTGGAAGACAAGGGGCAGACAGTGTCTAAACAAGATGCAAGAGTGGAGCAGAAAGTATCAGTAGCACTGTTAGCATCAAAAGATTTAGTTTAGGGGAAGGAAACGGAGATGAAACCATAGCAGATAGCTGGGAGGGTGAGAGTGAGCGTAGGTTACGTCGAAAAATGACATGTGGAGGGGTATGTGTTGTGTCAAGAACCATGTTAAGGTTAAGAGTGAGGAGGAAGTGATCTGAGGTGTGCAGTAGAGTAACCAGTACATGATCATTGGAGCAGTGTAGTGTGTAAATAAGGTCCAGTTGGTTGCCTGATTTGTGAGTAGCAGTAGTTGTCACTCGGTTCAGATCAAAAGAGGCAAGCAGAGTGTGGAAGTCTGCAGCCTGAGGTTTATGTAGGTGGATGTTGAAGTCTCCAAGCATAACTAGGGGAGTATCATTCTCGGGAAAGGTTGAGAGCAGCACATTTAATTAATCCAATAAGTTACCTAGTGGTCCTGGGGGTCAATAAACAACTACAAAATGGATTTTAAGAGGGTAGGTAATAGTAACTGAATGAGATTCAAAGGAGCTGTTGATTTCCAAATCAACTTGATCTGAAGTTTCCTATTTCCTGTGAGAAACTGCCTTAGACGCTTCAGTGCCTGCAGTTCAAACTGATTTGCGAACTAATTCAGACTGCTTTGCCAATTTGAAAAGAATCAACTAAAAGAGTGATTTGTGAATGCGGTATCAATTATACTCCAGCAAAAAAAAAAAAAAAAGATAGCACCTTCAGAATACACTACTCATTTCTAAACATTTATCATAAACTACTAATTTCTTAACATTTATTGCATTAAAATGAATATGAACATCGCCCAGTGTAACTAAGACAAAATACATTTATCTACTCTTAAATGTACATATTTTCCAAAAAGTTACTTTAGTGTGACGATCTCCAGCTGGAGTGCCCATGGACTCCACCAGAGGGCACTGCACCCCTGACTCTTGCCACTCTCACGCACTACATTTCCCATAATCTTTTGCCGGACTCATCATCACTGATTGCATTCACCTGTGTCTTGTCTCACCCTATTTATAGCCTGGTTTTTCACTCACTCATTACTCAGTATTGTCTAGCCCAGTGGTCGCCAACCCGTCGATCGCGATCGACTGGTAGATCTTTATCACTGTCCCAGTAGATCCCGAAAAAAACAGTAAAATAAGTAAAAAAAATGCATTACATTTATGGGGTTATATTAATGCATCACTGAAGGGAACTGTCTTGAGAAAAGTTTCGATGGCAATGGCATTTTCTTCACCGTATAAAGTGCGGCTCTGCTTTGTTTACAGCGGTAAACAAGGAAACGCTATAGTGCGGTCGGTTCATAAGCAGTGTTGCCAAGTCCGCGGTTTTCCCACGGAATTGGGCTACTTGACACTGTTGCTGTGGGTTGTTTTTCATGTCCGCGGGTTGAAGCGACCCCAATAACGTGATATTTAGTCCCTGGAATGTGAATTTTACTTGAAGATCCCCGCCGAAAAATGTGTGTTTTACCCCCGGAATGCGATGATTTTTAGGGGACCCCCCCCCGAAACGCGATTGGACTAGTTTTATTGCGAAAACCTGGCAACCCTGTTCATAGGCGCCACCTGCTGTCAGAGAGTGCGTCTCATTCAGACCTGCTGTTTTTGTTTCGTGCAGATGTTTTATGTAGCAAATAAATAAATAACGCCTAAAGTCAGACCATTCTGTTTTTGATTTAAATCCTGAAATTAATCTAGATCAAATAAAAAATAACTGCCCGTGCAGATCGTGATTAAAATGCAGTGGTTGCCTCTAATTTCAAATGGCTAGATATTTTTGTTTAAAGCCAGTTTGTTTGTTATAAAGCAAATAGCCAATAAATAAATTTGCTTAAAAATCAGTATCAGTATCAGAATCCAATTTGCTAGTTAAAAAAAAAAAAAAAGAAAGAAAGAAAAGAACATCTGAATCAGCTATGATCGGCGCATCACTAATTAAAATACTAAGTAAAAGGCCTCAAATTTGAAGTACAATCTGGGATGTCTTTTTCTATCAATTCTTCAATAGGTAGATGTTGTCTTTCATAAAGGTAGGGGTCAGGGATCTTGGGCCTAAAAAGGTTGGTGACCACTGGTCTAGCCTGTAGCGTTCCCGTGTTTCCTGTGTTCCTAGTTCCTTCTTGCCTTGCCTTGTTTTGACCCCGGACTGTTTCCTTGTATCTGATTGTTTGCTGCCTGCTCTGACCTTCGCCTGTTTATTGTTCTCTTTTGTCTCTTCCTGGATTATACCTTAGCTGTTGTTTGATCCTGCCGGTTTTGTCTGCACACGCTCTCTTTGAAATCGGAATCATTGCCACTACAGAATATTGAGCCTCACCCAGATCCAGCGGCTTTATAAACCATCTCAGGCCAACCATGGACCCAGCACGCAGGTTAGTTTGCCTCCGTCAGGGAATGCGTTCCCTCGAGGACCACATTCAAGACTTTCTGGACATTGCTCACCTCTCTGATCTCCTGGACTTCATGTTGATTAACTTTTTCTGTTATGGACTAAATGAACAGTTAAAAACCATACTCCCCCATGATGGCCCTTGAGGGTCCCTATGTCAGTTTTTGGATTATGCCCTCTTGCTAACCGGTTCCCCGTTTAATGTGGGAGAGGCGGAGTACATTAAGACCCCTAAGAGTTTTTTGGGAGGGGGCCATAACCGGCAAGCTCCAGCAACAGCGGAGCTTGGTTCACTGGGATCACCGTCAAGTCCGCTTGGTTCACTGGGATCACTGCTGTCCGCAATTTGCGGAGTGACTCTGGGTCCGGGCCTTCTTCGTCCAGGGACCTCAGCAGTCGTGTCTAGAATACCTGACCTCGTGTGGAGGGCAGATGCTGCGTGTCCTGCAGAAATATATGCTTTTTCAGCGATGTGAGCTGTGGCTCAACATGGCTTAGATGGCAATGAGGCGGTTTTCCAGCCTCGGGACGAATATAGGTGAGCCGCGACGGCATCCTCAACTGGAGTTAGTCGAGCATACCCTCTTTTCTCCGCCCCCCCCCCCACTGCCGTGAGAAGCTGAGTTCCTTGTGCATGGGCTCGGGCTGAGTGAGGGAAGCGCCATGAACGAGTGAGCTCCTCGTGGAGCGCAAGGAAGAAAGGGCCGGGTCTCTGTGGTGCGTCCGCTTGGTGGCTCGCGCGGAGGAAAGACCATCCATCCAACATTTACATGGCTATTCAGGAGCTGCCCAGTCCAACTCCAAATTGGCTACAGCCTCCGTAAGGATACTCATCAGCTCCGTGTACATTGAAGTCAGGATGCAGCTGGCCTCTGAAGGGACCTCCGACCAGGCACCCGGGTTAGAGGCACTCGTCAAAACTACAATATATATATATATATATATATATATATATCACACGAGCAGCAGGGCGATATGGCTGTAAATCAGCACAGTAAACTATTTACTCTAGAGCAAATAATAGTTTAATGAGACCAAAGACTGCCCATTAGATATACCCAAAATTAATTATAGCTCATGTTTACCACTATAGAGACATCAGAGCCAGCGGCAAATTCCAGAAGTTCTGGCCGAGGTAAGGCTGCTCTCGGCAGGTTCATGAGTGCTGAATGGCTGCTGACGCCTTGGAGCTCACATCTCCGAAAACGTTGAAGCAAATTTTCAAATAGGTGTTATCTTTATTAACAAACCGCATATTTAAAGTCTAAACAACTACATTCTCGTTTTTAAAAAATCTCTTAAAACTACATTCTGTGACACAAAAACAATATTTTTTATATAATTATAGTGAATTTGTTGCGGTGTTTAATTATTCTGAATGGATCCGTGTTCTATAGTAGATATATGCAGTGAGCAGGCGGTTGGTTTAGGAGTTTTTGGCATCTCCATGTGGTCCTGTTCAGTATCGCAACTTGACTTCTCTAAAATGTAAAAAAGCTCTTTGCTGTTGCACTGTACACATCTTATACAATTCAATTTTTTTTCCGTTTCATACGTGCTAATATAGGCTCCTTATATCATTTGGTTCTTTGAATATAATTAAAAAAGCCACCTGACAAAAAACTTGACAAATTTCTTGACCTTTATAAAGGAAACAGCCAAGTGAACAAAACTATATAAATGTTATGATAGATAAATGTGCAGTTATTATTTAATTTTATTTTTTTACATGATTCCCAATTATTTATATTCACGATTACTAGTATTTGTACAGGCGTTTACGGTTTTAGTTCAATGTTGTAATTAGCAATTCATGTAATTTTATCTTTGAAGCAGATTTGTTATGTGACAACATTAATTAAAGTTTCTTAAGGGTCAAGATCAAGTTATCTGCATCTCCTGCGCTCCATCAAGCCACTCCCATAATAGCTGTCACCACTCAAATTAATGCATGACTCAGATTAACTGTATGTGTGTAAGACTCTAATACAATTATATAGTTATTATTTTA